TAAAGTTGCAAAGACTAAAGTTTAAAATCCAAAGAGATATTCTTTATAAAAGTTAAGTCAACCACGCCTACCTAAAACGGCTCGTTCTAACACGCCCCCACATGTCTATGTCACGATGTGGGAAGATTTGCATAACGCCGCCCAAATGTTCACGCAAAGAAAGAAGGCGGAACTTTTATTCTCACTGTAGTATTGTTGTTGGCACCGCCGCCATGTTGTGGAGATGCTGTGTGTTTCGTTGTGAAAGTGAAACTACTTTGTTTGGCCTTCCAAAAGAGGACGATATCCGCTTCGTCATGCCTGGAGCTGATCCGTGCTGGTCGCTGAGGGAATACATCAACTTTGCGCTGTGGATCGCCGGATCGGCTTTCACCGTGGACGAAGCGGAGTCCAGCCCGGGGTCGTCACATGTGGTTGCTGCAAGCCCGCCGGCCGTTCCTCACTCTAGCCGCCGAGTGTGACACTGTGTGTTTCATTGTGAAAGTGAAACTACTTTGTTTGGCCTTCCAAAAGAGGACACGACTAGAAATCAGTGGTTAAGTTGTATTTACAACACTGTTCCAGAACAGTTAAACCCAAATATTCAGATGTGTGCAGCACATTTTATGGAGGTCTGTTTCCTGATCCTAGTAGAGTAGACTACAATGCCGGCTCTTCTAAATTTTTTAGAATTTGCCACTGACTATTCAAACGCGAGTTTTGAGCAGTGTAGAGTAGCACTTGTTGTTTGTAATTTCTCCGATCACAAATGCAGACATGGTTTTATGTTTACGCGGCGCAATGCAGTGTGTAAAAAGACAGTATAAGTCATTATAATCTGTAATTATGTCCCCGCTGGATGCAACAAATGCCTCGTTTATAATGGGTTTGAATGTTTTTGTCTCGTCGCTTCGGCCGGACGGCATCACAGTATGGTAGGGGTGTAACATTTCCGTCACACGCTTGAGTTATTCGGCCAATCACAACGCACTGGATAGCTAGCCAATCAGAGCACACCTTGCTTTTCAGACCGATGAGCTTTGTAAAAATCGACGTGTTTCAGAAAGGCGGGGCATAGAGGAGCAACAATAATGTACAGTATGTGGAAAATAATGTGTTTTTTGCACCTTAAACCGCAAAAAAACACATTTCATTACACCACATGCACAAAATAATGTTCTTTTTAGCAACATCGTATTACCCCTTTAATGTTCAAAAAACACATTATTTTTCAAATACTGTACATTATTGTTGCTCCTCTATGCCCCGCCTTTCTGAAACACGTCGATTTTTACAAAGCTCATCGGTCTGAAAAGCAAGGGGTGCTCTGATTGGCCAGCTGACCCAGTGCATTGTGATTGGCCGAACACCACAAGCACGTGTCGAAAATGTAACGCCCCTTTCCATAATCGCAAGCTTCAGCTTTCAATATAAATGTAAAGAGTCTAAAGACAGTACATAATGTCCTTAGTTTTACCATCAGTTCAAGCCCGAAAGAGGAACAGAGTCGCGTGACAGACACAGTGATGATTCTCGTATGTATTTGCAGTACACAAGCCGCGATTAAGAAAGCTTACTCCACTGTGATGTGACTCTGTCTCTCTCTCACGCACACACACACACATAACGCAATACTCTACACGGTGCAAAACTTCGCATTTGAACAGTCAATAGCAAATACTTAAACTATTAAGAAAACATACTTACAGTAGCTGATTCAGAATAAGCGCCAGATTGTCATAGCAAAGTCGGAATTTACCCTTTTTTTTTTTTAAATAGCCTTTGCACAGCCAGCCTTGTAGACTACTCTCCTAGGTTCACAAAACTGTCGTCCATAAAATGCGTTGCACAAATTCGAACATCTGGGTTGTGCTGTTCTGTTGTAAATAAATCTTAACCA